TATTTTGTCGCAGATATTTAGTCGTGCTACCGAGATAAGACGGCTGTTTAGCATTTGCGTGAAAGATATCGAGAAAAAGAAACAAAATAATAAAAAATTTTAAAAATATGAGAAGAAAACTATTTTAGAGAGATATATGTGTCGCACAAACACGAAAACTGATAGACAAGTTTAGATTTAGAGATAATACCGACGCTCCGCTTTTTCAAGTAATCTTACATTAGAGTCATCTGCTCTTTCGCAAATAGTAGTAAATTACGCGAGGAATAAATTTCTTACCCCATCAACTTGCACATTCCGCAAACGTGTTGCGTGAGAGTCACAAATAGAGTGGAACAGCCGACATAAATTAAAGGCAGGATGACAAATACAAGACACGTTTGGTACCGAACGACGTAAAAATATCTCTCCTCATTGACAACAAATTGAATATCAATAGGTTGCCTCCGCGGGCGAGATTCGTTCATAGGCGACATAATGTCGAGGACTTCCGGTGTCAACATCCACATGCTGTATATCCCTATGGCTATATACGTCAGGCCTGAAAAATTCGGTAATTGTAAATTTATTAATATAACTTTTAGCATCAGAGCGATACATATGCGTGTGTAAGTTTGAATTGCAATGATATATTAGACATATTAATCTTTTGGTTTTGCAAAAATATCGTATGATTGACTTTGCACCAAATTTTTCAAGAGACAGCAAGGATATTTGTAAAAGCTGCAAGATTAAAACAAACATAAATACCGAAAATATGTCCAAAATAGGACTTAATTTTCACATAAACATTATTTCTGCTATTAATAATGTTTATTTGAAATTAAATCCAAGCTCTGATGGTTTGAAGGCTTGATATCAGACAATACCTTAATGTGATATAAAAATTGAATTCTAAATAAACTCTAGTAAGAGGTTACACATGATAAATATGTTGAATGCTTATAATGCAATAGCACTATTGTGTTGTGTCTCTTGTCAGTCTTATACACAGAAATGTAATCTTGATCTCGCAAGAAAAAACGCCTGTCTTTTTCTTCTGTAAAAAGAGACAAATTTAAGGTTTCTCTTACTTAAGTAACGGAGTGTGAATAATCTTGAGGCCTCGGCATGCTCGTGCATAATCCTAGTCTCATCGTGTGTCTTTTGCAACGCCCAGTCTTTCGACATACGCTCGAATAATACTCTAAACTAAAAGAAAGTAGAGCGATAAATAAATGATCATGTATTTCAAAATAGTAAAAGAATCGATAGACATCTAATACATTAAGTCTCATTGATACGTTAACATAATTGTAATAGGTAATTCTAATTTCAAAAGATTTACGAAAGTAATGTTACATATTTTGGCTGTGATATAATTTTTTTCTTGTCACATTTACTTCGTTTTACTTTTATCTCTTATTGCTTATCAAATTATCTATGGCGATGAGTAATAAAGAAGGTAATTGCAAGTCAGTGTCTTAATTGGCTTAATTGGATTAAGCTAAATAACGTTCCAGAGAGTAAAACAGAGTGAAATATAGGTATATACAATAGTAATTTTGTCTATTTCTAAAAATGAGTTATCTATCTATTTAAAAATGAGTGACAACTTAGGTTTTTATGTATTAGAAACAAATGATACATTCTATTAAATTTAAGTAATAAGAAACACAAATTGGTAGAGAATCTATGCAGCTTACTTTGTCCACGTGTATGACACGCGTATACAAGTTGCTCAGACCACCCAATACAATTAGAAACATCGGTATCCAATCCACTATATAATCCATAGTGATGTCAGATGTAATAAATATGCTATTAATCTAGTAAGATGTTATTAACTCTTAATAAGAACAAAGAAATAATTTCATCGAGAAACAGTTATTGGGGACACATTTGCGCGACCAAATTTCTCTCATGAAGAGCAAGAAATTTCTAATTATATTTCGTTATAATTTCGATAAAACTGTAATTTGATTTCTGAGTATATATTCTATTTTTTTTTCTAATACTGTGAGAACGTTATTTCTAATCTTCTAGTATGAAAAATATCTAATATTAAATTGAAAAAATACTATTTTCTAAAACTGTGTACCATCCAAACTATACTTATTAGCAAGGTGACCGTTAAAACAGCTCTTATTAAACGAGCTCTCCGTTTGCTTTGATAAGGACATAGTCC